ATTCAGATAAAGAAGACAAAAGAAATAGCTTTAGTTTTGAGAAGTTTCTAGTTTTATCTTCCTCTTGAAGATGATCACTTGGTGATCGAAACACGTGTCAAGGTATAAAAATAAGATTTGGTGTGTACACCAAAGGTTTCAAACAGTACATCATGAGTAAAAATGTTTGGAGTTTGAGAAATTGGGCTCCGTTCGAATATTTCTTCTTCAACACCAAAGGTTCCAGTCACATCTACGGCTCTTAATGTATGAACAGAGGAAACTTTTTGGGTGGGTTGCAACAAACCAAACGAGATGATGTTTTCCGTAAAGTGATCCTCACATTTTGTGCCAGTCAAATCTAATTCTGAAAACCCTCAGCTATCACTTCCCATACTATTTGAAAGAATTACAAATAGTATCGTATCAATATATTATTCGTTATGGTGAATAAAATAGCAACAATCAAATGACGAACCTCAATTTATTAGATGAAGTTATTTGTGAACAAGTTCAATTTCATGAATTATGACAAGATAAAATTTCCAGTACGCCTCTGTTATAGGCACCTTGTCGCAAGTCTGGCCTTGAGTAATCCGCTTTTCAAGATGGCGTCTTCATACTTTTTGAAATCAAAGGCGGCATCGTGGAGTGTCCGTGCTGATTGTTAGGTATGCTGTGGTTCCGTAGACACAGCTGATAGGCTCAGTGTCATTCATCCTCTCAGCACGGATACACACACCTTAGGATTGAGCCATCGTTGAGATGCCATTCAGTTAGTGAATAACAGCACTACAAGTCATTCCCGTATCCAGCGGGGCTACGTGGAAGCAGTTATCCGATGGCCGGTTTACTCAACCCCCACATCCCAAGCCAATGCACTCGCAAAAAACAGCATGCACAGTGGTTCAGGCAGTGAAAGATGAACGAGGATAGCCAACTCGCCGCACAAAGGGATACATCTATATCAAATTTGTGATTCATTCAATGAAATGTTTCTATTTTCGTAAATTTATACAATATTTTTCAGAACTAATATTCTACTAATCGTTGGAAAGAGTCAAGCAAATACCTCCAACATCGTGTCCTCCTTCTATTTGGTAAGCGCTGCTGGCAACACCGAAAATAAATCCATCCGGAAAATGGTATTTTTCCGAGTCGATCACAACACTGGAATCATTCATTTCTACTTCATTAAGAAAACGCTGTCAACGTAATACTGGCGGCAAATATATTATGGAATAATCTTCCTGAATGACAATCAGCTCATAGATAAGTCAATTGTACATAATTGTCGTTTCGAACCAGAAGTTCTGAACAGTTTGCATGGTGAAATATTCATTTATTGTTTATTAATAATGCTACTATTGTGAGAGCAGATGTTATTTTTCAAAATCAGTCAGGAGAAAAAGAGCCAAACTAACGTTTTATATATTTTTACGGAGAGGTACAATCACTACAGGAACATCCTTGAAAGGGTCCACGTGCTGGCTTACGTTGGAAATGAATCGACGTTGATTATGATCGTTTAATGAACACTCTGAAAACGTGTACTCCAAATGTTAGAGTTTCAGAAATTATTATCCAAGATGTACTGAGGTGAAGGACCACGCTATGAGAAACTGTAGTTTACTGCGTACTGTTCTCAGTGGAATGGCGCCATCCAGCCAGTAATGTCATTCGACGATATTACAAAAACAAGTGAATTTAGTTAGCGATTAGCTAGGTGAAGTGCATTAAGAGAGTCATAGTTACGACCGCACCGGGGGTCCTGGGAATGCGATCGAGTGTGGAGGGGTGGATTTTCGGGAAATCCTTGCGGGTATCTCATGTTAGGAAAGTTACATTTCCAGCGTTGGATGAGTAACCGCCGAGGGCTCTTGCGAGACACCTCTCCCACACATCTAGCTTGAAACCGGCCAACGCCTGTTACCCGCAGGCGCGGGATTGGGTGGTTGACCGATAACTTTACTGGTTGAGTGCCGTGTGGTCTGCACCGGGGGACTGTCCAACACCCATATGAGAGAGACAGTGATCCCCCGCCACTCACCCCGACGTGCGGTGGTGAATACTGTGAGTGGTGTCATTAGCAAGTTTTCAATACTCGATTCTTTACTTCGGCATTTTTGAGGACAAAATTATGTCGGAAGCAAAAAAAAGAAACGGCTGTATAGTGCAGAATATATAAAATATGGATTTATTGAAAATCCCACAAATACATCTTCGCCTGTGTGCCTTCTTTGTCAAAAAACATTTTCGAATGGAGCGATGAAACCCTCAAGGCTACAAGATAATTTGAATAAAATGCATTCAGATAAAGAAGACAAAAGTGTGACTTATTTTTAAAAACTGGAAAAGAAACACTCAGCTCAGCCAACTGTGTCAAAACTGTGTCGCCTCTAAGCAAGACGACGACGGACTTCGAGCTTTCTACTATATCTCGTTGCTAATTGCTCAAACTGGTTAACCTCACACTATTGGAGATGACTTAATTTCACCGGCAATAAAAGAAGTAATAACTGTGCTCCATAAATCAGCGGCAGATGTTATTCGTGCAAAGACGAATTGAAGAGATGGCTGAAAACATTGAAGAGTCATTGTGCAATCATCTGAGGACTTCTAAATTCTCAATTCAGTTAGATGAGTCCACTTTACCAACCAATGAAGCATTTGTTGTTGTCATACGTGGTGTTTATTGAAAATGAGACAATATATCGAGAACTACTATTTGCCTGAAATTTAGACACGGATACAAAAGGAAAAACCATATATAATAAACTGGAAAAATTTTGTGATGAGAAAGAAATTCCACTGAAGAATATTATATCAGCTGCTACGGATGGCGCTCCGGCTATGAAAGGACTTCACAAAGGCTTCATAGCGTACTTAAAAAAATAAAATTTCAGATGTGCTCACTGTAGATTGCGTCATTCATAGCCAACATTTGATTGCGAAAAATTTGAGTAAGTGCCTCTCTCAATCACTGCAATATATCATCGAAGCAGTCAATAAAATCCGAAACTGATCTTTAAATGACAGATTATATTTATTCAACTTTGTGTTGCTAATGATGAAGATTTCAATAGATTGCTATTTCACACAGAAATTAACACAGTCTACTTCAAAAATCAGATTCAAAGATTTGCCCCTCGATACATGGGTTCTGCCCATCAAGACGCCCACGAATTCCTTCGATATCTTTTAGAAGGTTTACATGAGGACCTCAACAAAATTACTGAGATTGACGAAAAATTGAGCGATAACGGAAAAGCACAAGAGTCCTGGCAGAGATATTTGAATATGAACAACTCCAAGATTGTAGTATCGTTCAACGATTTTTGATAGTATTTCCATCATCATATTTGTGTGAACGTGAATTTAGTGCTGTGGTAACGTTGCTAACTAAAAAGAGAACTCGGTTGCAGACTACCGAACGCGGTGACTTACGGCTGTTTTTGAGTAAATTCGAGGCTGATATCAACAAACTTGTTGAAAATCATCGAATTCATCCCTCACATTAGATTAGTTTTAAAGTTCAAATTGAAATGTTTGTTTTAGTAACATGAATGAACGTTTTCCTCAAATTACAAAATGGTGTTTTACATTACCCTCATCAGAACGTCTTATTTTCACATGACACACATAATTTAATTATTAAAATAATGACTGTGATTCTTGAGATGTAGTAAAATAAAAAAATGGGGGACGCTAGAAAATAATTAATTCTCGAAGTGGGCGTTAGACAAAATAAGTTTGAGAACCTCTGGTGTCTAGAAATATATGAGCTGCTTCAGGATATGCATAAAGGCGGAACTCCACATTTGTGAGGAATATTGTTCGTCTTCGAAATATACCTACCCGTTGATTAAAATCGTCAAATATGTAGTTGAAATAGCCCCAAAATGAGACTAGGATCAACTAAAACGTTCTGGTTGATTTTGACAATCATTATTGAATACGATATATCAACATTATGACCAGATTCAACGCCAGAAACACAATGAACAATGACTGCATGAAGATTATAATAGTGGTCTTCTAGATTGATGTGTTCATCTATTTCGAACCTTCATAAGAGTTTGGTGCTTCCGTCAGAGGTTGAGTCATGTTTGAAGATCATCAGTGTTATTATTAGATTGACTGGTGCCTCAGCTATACTTATTTTTTTACAATAGTTAGTTAGTTTGGCGCATGATTGGCGATACAGTTGATCATCACCCGTTAAAAGTTATATTTTCAGATGATTTAACGATAAGCTTTGCACGTACTGGTTATCAAACATATTAGGAAACGCGAGTTGAAGTTTCAGAAAATCAAATACGTTATTGCTACCTCTCGAACATGTACTATGAACTAAACTAGTAAGAATTTTTCCAGCAAATGATCTACAAACACAAGACGAGATATACTGTACGGAATCGTTCAATCCAGAGCGGTCAAGAGTATTGATTCTGCTATTTTCCTGCTCATGAAGAGCATTCAACAAGAACCACAAGAATCCTCTTGTTGTCCTAATGAGTATCTAGTGGACTTCAAAGACTCCAGGTAATCTGTTGGTGGGAAGGATGATACATTCTCACAAAACTGCAACTGCGTAAACAACTCTTTGAGTTTGGTGAACGAGTAAGAAACATTTTCATTCTCGTCCATGCTAAAAACCTCGTTTTGAAATTCTTCTTCATGAACAACACCAATAAAATGCTATTCATGTAGCAAGTGTTTCCCAATTATCTAATCCAATTTTTTTCGCAAGATTTTCAGGACAGATGTCTACTGATTCGTAAGGAAGAACATGTTTCATAGAATCTTTTTTTTGTTTCTGATCGATTTGGCAGTTACTTGAGGAAGATCCATAGTAATTTCAAAAACTACACCTCACGAATTGATCTCCACAAATGTCCGAATATGTCCTCCATTAAATTTTCAAAGTGATCTGTTGTCTGGTTCACCAGAAACGTCTAATGTGCCATCCACCGTGAATCAGCCTGTATAGTGTAAGAAAACTGTATACTTTCCGTTGTATATTATGGACAGCCAGTGTTACGAGTTCATTTGTTCAGAATAGTGTGTAACAACGAAAACTCAACAGAGCCGTTTTTGAATATAAAAAGTATGATTTTTAAAAATGCTCGGACACGTCGATTTCTAATTAAAGGGAGACACCTATCAGACTATTCAGATTTTTTGTAGTACGTACCCCCTCGGAGGGGTAACAGGGGAGACAGACCATTTGCCTAAATAAAAAACATTTCGAGCAGTCCTTCTTATCAGTTTTTTGTGAAATAAAATCCCTTTTTTTAACATCAATACCTCCTCTTCTTCCAGTTTTCATTAGTACATCGTTCGATTGTTTTGTTTAAACAGGTCGTGTATTGTTATTTGTTTAAAAATGCCTTACACGACTGCTGAAAGGGTTTCAATTATTGCTTCATTTTTTGGCAACGACCAAAATGCTAATAGAACATCAATTTTATTTAACAAGCAAAACCCTGGTAAATACCTAAGCAGAAATCACGTTCTGGATTTGGTCACAAAATTCAGGGAGACTGGTTCGGTTTTAAATAAGAAAAGAAATGTTCAAAGAAGGGTAGTGAATGACGATAATGCAATTGGAGTGATTGGTCAAGTCATCGCCAATCCCAGTCAGAGTGACGAAAGGCGCGCGGAAGCCAGACTACCCGCTTTTGGCTCTATTTTCAGGGCTCTGTAAAAATTATAAATAATCGAGATACAGTTTCGCGAATCGGGACTTTTTTTACGCAAATTCATTGATCTATTCAAATAATTTTCAGTATAACGCTAATATTTATAGTAAAAAGCATTTGAATTGTCATCCTTTGTGGACGAAGGGATAGGTTAGGTTAGGTTAGTAGTCTAGTTTACGTGTACTTTTTTTTGTAACATTATTCAGCCCTGTCCAAATATCACGACCAAGGTGTCATTCGATTCGTATTTTTGCCTAGAAAGTTTGAGGAAAGGTCCGAAAACGCGCCGATAGAAATCACAAAAGTTACAAACAATAAAATTTTTATTTATTCATCAATTTCTATTTTGTCCCCTTCAAAGTAGCCCCCTCAGATATGATACACTTCCAATATGCACTTTTTGGTGTGTCCTTGAGCTCTCTCAGCGAGTCGGTTTTTATCTCCTTAGTCGTCGCAAAACGCCGTCCTTTCATGGGTTTCGTCAATCTAAGTAACAGG